AAAAAGGGTCCTGCGTGTTTTTGGTACGATTAGAGCCATAGAAAATGTACGACTCCGATGGCACCGCACACAAATTGCATGTGATCTGCAGGGAATGCGGTTCCTCTACGAATCACATGCGATATGCCGCACCGCACACGTGTGAACCCGGGCTGGATGTCTGTATTATGTGCTGCTTTTTTTGAAAAATCTTTGCAGGGAGAAGAAACAAAGAGATCGCTCCCTCTGTACAGAGCCCTGTGTTGTTTGTCAACATAGGGCTCTGCGCTGTGATTGGACACAGGATCAGCAGGTCCCGGCCGTGAATCATTGGCCTGGACCTGCTGACAAAATCCTGGTGTATCCAATCAAAGCTGCAGTTGGTGTTGGCAGGAGGGGGGCGCCCTGAACCCGGATGGGTATGTTGCTGCACCAATGGGAGATGCCCGTCTGCAGTTCAGCGCGGGTGGGCGGTCCTACAGTGGATATGTGTACAATGTTGATGTCCTTTGCTCATCAGCGCCATCTAGTGGGTTGTAAGGTGAATTTTGTTTTTGATGAAGGTATTGCAGGAAGTATGGCCACTGGATGGTAAGAACCTATTAGCCACATTACAGGGATTTTTTCACAATGGCTGTGTGAAGGCGGAGATATTGAGTCTTTTTTAAGGCGATTTTCGGACGTTTTTGCTGAAATCCGATCTAAACAAATACGGTATATTCCAAATCCATCGGTCATGTGACTTCTTCTGGAATCTCCTCCCAGATCTGAGCCGCCATCCAGGGTGAGACTTCCTGGAATAGAGACCACTCACTGCTGCTCCCTCTCCTTGTGCAGGGGGACTGGTCTTGTCTCCGCCCCTTCCTGTAGTGGATGGAGCCTGAAGTGCCCCTCCCACAACTCTGGTCTCTCTTTGTGCAGGGTGACTGGTCTTTTCTCCACCCCCTCATGTAGTGGGTGGAGCCTGCAGGGCCCCTCCCATAGCTCTGCTCTCTCCTTGTACAGGGGGGCCAGTCTTGTCTTCACCCTCTCATGTAGTAGGTGGAGCCTGCAGGGCCCCTCCCACAACTCTTTGTGCAGGGTGACTGGTCTTGTCTCCACCCCCTCATGTAGTAGGTGGAGGCTGCAGGGCCCCTCCCACAACTCTCTATGCAGGGTGACTGGTCTTGTCTCCACCCCTCATGCAGTAGGTGGAGCCTGCAGGGCCCCTCCCACAACTCTCTTTGTGCAGGGTGACTGGTCTTGTCTCCACCCCCTCATGCAGTAGGTGGAGCCTGCAGGGCCACTCCCACAACTCTTTGTGCAGGGTGATGGTCTTGTCTCCACCCCCTCATGCAGTAGGTGGAGCCTGCAGGGCCCCTCCCACAACTCTCTTTGTGCAGGGTGACTGGTCTTGTCTCCACCCCCTCATGCAGTAGGTGGAGCCTGCAGGGCCACTCCCACAACTCTTTGTGCAGGGTGACTGGTCTTGTCTCCACCCCCTCATGTAGTAGGTGGATCCTGCAGGGCCCCTCCCACAGCTCTCTCTCTTTGTACAGCTTGACTAGTCTTGTCTTCACCCCTTCTGTAGCAGATGGAGCCTCTGTCACTGACCACAATTGGGGGGGGGGGGGCTACTACCAACGAAGGTGGAGATGGGGGTTTAAAAAAAAGAAAAACACTGACCCCTAATGTGGGTATTATTATTGTGCTGACACCAACGATGGGGGTTACTATAGAGTTCACTGACACCAATCCTGGGGGTTACTATAGAGTTCACTGACACCAATCCTGGGGGTTACTATAGAGTTCACTGACACCAATCCTGGGGGTTACTATAGAGTTCACTGACACCAACCATGGGGGTTACTATACAGTTCACTGACACCAATCCTGGGGGTTACTATAGAGTTCACTGACACCAATCCTGGGGGTTACTATAGAGTTCACTGACACCAATACTGGGGGGTTACTATACAGTTCACTGACACCAATACTGGGGGTTACTATACAGTTCACTGACACCAATCCTGGGGTTACTATAGAGTTCACTGACACCAATACTGGGGGTTACTATAGAGTTCACTGACACCAATCCTGGGGGTTACTATAGAGTTCACTGACACCAATCCTGGGGGTTACTATAGAGTTCACTGACACCAATCCTGGGGGTTACTATAGAGTTCACTGACACCAATACTGGGGGTTACTATAGAGTTCACTGACACCAATACTGGGGGTTACTATAGAGTTCACTGACACCAATACTGGGGGTTACTATACAGTTCACTGACACCAATACTGGGGGTTACTATACAGTTCACTGACACCAATCCTGGGGGTAACTATAGAGTTCACTGACACCAATCCTGGGGGTTACTATAGAATTCACTGACACCAACCATGGGGGTTACTATAGAGTTCACTGACACCAACCATGGGGGTTACTATAGAGTTCACTGACACCAAACCATGGGGGTTACTATAGAGTTCACTGACACCAATCCTGGGGGTTACTATAGAGTTCACTGACACCAATACTGGGGGTTACTATACAGTTCACTGACACCAACCATGGGGGTTACTATACAGTTCACTGACACCAATCCTGGGGTTACTATACAGTTCACTGACACCAATCCTGGGGGTTACTATAGAGTTCACTGACACCAATACTGGGGGTTACTATACAGTTCACTGACACCAATACTGGGGGTTACTATACAGTTCACTGACACCAACCATGGGGGTTACTATACAGTTCACTGACACCAATCCTGGGGGTTACTATAGAGTTCACTGACACCAATACTGGGGGTTACTATAGAGTTCACTGACACCAATCCTGGGGGTTACTATAGAGTTCACTGACACCAATCCTGGGGGTTACTATAGAGTTCACTGACACCAATCCTGGGGGTTACTATACAGTTCACTGACACCAATACTGGGGGTTACTATAGAGTTCACTGACACCAATACTGGGGGTTACTATAGAGTTCACTGACACCAATACTGGGGGTTACTATACAGTTCACTGACACCAATACTGGGGGTTACTATACAGTTCACTGACACCAATCCTGGGGGTAACTATAGAGTTCACTGACACCAATCCTGGGGGTTACTATAGAATTCACTGACACCAACCATGGGGGTTACTATAGAGTTCACTGACACCAACCATGGGGGTTACTATAGAGTTCACTGACACCAACCATGGGGGTTACTATAGAGTTTCACTGACACCAATCCTGGGGGTTACTATAGAGTTCACTGACACCAACCATGGGGGTTACTATAGAGTTCACTGACACCAACCATGGGGGTTACTATAGAGTTCACTGACACCAATCCTGGGGGTTAATATAGAGTTCACTGACACCAATACTGGGGGTTACTATAGAGTTCACTGACACCAATCCTGGGGGTTACTATAGAGTTCACTGACACCAACCATGGGGGTTACTATAGAGTTCACTGACACCAATCCTGGGGGTTACTATAGAGTTCACTGACACCAACCATGGGGGTTAATATAGAGTTCACTGACACCAATACTGGGGGTTACTATAGAGTTCACTGACACCAATACTGGGGGTTACTATAGAGTTCACTGACACCAATCCTGGGGGTTACTATAGAGTTCACTGACACCAATCCTGGGGGTTTGTTTCCCATTTGCCCTTAAATGTGCATTGCAAAAAAAAAAAAAAATCTAAACATGTAACGTGTATTACAGCCCATGTGTGGGCGGCACTTCAACATGTGAACATGAGGTGTTATCGTGTGGCCCTCAGGATGTGTCAGGGGCCTGATCATTTCTTTAAGTTGACCACCATTGCGTTACACAGCCGGGGTGACTTGGCCCTGATTGGTCCGGATAATCAGGCGCTGCGTCTGGGTACGTTATGACGTTCAAGCACACACCGGAAAACCATCTCGAGGCCAAAACTTTATTTAGATTTCCAGCTGGAAGTTACAAAAATACAATCGTACCCCCCGGCATAGAAAGGGTGAAATCCGAGAATATGAAGCCCCGCCCCCCGGCATAGAAAGGGTGAAATCCGAGAATATGAAGCCCCGCCCCCCGGCATAGAAAGGGTGAAATCCGAGAATATGAAGCCCCGCCCCCAGGCATAGAAAGGGTGAAATCCGATAATATGAAGCCCCGCCCCCCGGCATAGAAAGGGTGAAATCCGAGAATATGAAGCCCCGCCCCCGGCATAGAAAGGGTGAAATCCGAGAATATGAAGCCCCGCCCCCAGGGATAGAAAGGGTGAAATCCGATAATATGAAGCCCCGCCCCCCGGCATAGAAAGGGTGAAATCCGAGAATATGAAGCCCCGCCCCGGCATAGAAAGGGTGAAATCCGAGAATATGAAGCCCCGCCCCCCCCTGGGATAGAAAGGGTGAAATCCGAGAATATGAAGCCCCCCCGGTATAGAAAGGGTGAAATCCGAGAATATGAAGCCCCGCCCCCCAGTATAGAAAGGGTGAAATCCGAGCATATGAAGCCCCGCCCCCAGTATAGAAAGGGTGAAATCCGAGAATATGAAGCCCCGCCCCCCCAGTATAGAAAGGGTGAAATCCGAGAATATGAAGCCTCACCCCCGGCATAGAAAGGGTGAAATCCGAGACTATGAAGCCCCGCCCCCCCGGTATAGAAAGGGTGGAATCCGAGAATATGAAGCCCCGCCCCCCGTTATAGAAAGGGTGAAATCCGAGAATATGAAGCCCCGCCCCCCAGTATAGAAAGGGTAAAATCCGAGAATATGAAGCCACACCCCCTCCCCGCCCCCACAGGTTCCCTATGAAGACGTAGGATGTAGTGTATCATTTATAATGGATTGCTCCAACCAGCCCGGCATTGGGGACCTCAGAGGCCGCCGGTCCCTGAAGAAGTCCATGGATATCAGCAGACTCTGGGGGCCGACACAACGATGCTTCGCGGTCAGATCCATGGTGAAGCGTTCCGTGGCATCATCGGCACCGACACCGGCTGCTGTCCAATGACGGACGGGGAAGACACAGATCAGAGACTAGTGAACGGTTCTCTCCTTCTGCCGCTGATAGTCTGCAAAACAAAGACGTGACTGACACCATGACCTGAGTACTGAGCGCGTGTGGAGCCGGCTACGGGGAGCTCGTCATCATACACTGTATAGCCCAAAGTATTGGCCCCGCCCTCCAGATCATGTGATTCAGGTGTTCCAATCCTTTCCATATCATGTGATTCAGGTGTTCCAATCCCCTCCATATCATGTGATTCAGGTGTTCCAATCCCCTCCCAATCATGTGATTCGGGTGTTCCATTACCCTCCCATATCATGTGATTCGGTGTTCCAATCCCCTCCCAATCATGTGATTCGGGTGTCCCAATCCCCTCCATATCATGTGATTCAAGTGTTCCAATCCCCTCCCAATCATGTGATTCGGGTGTTCCAATCCCCTCCATACCATGTGATTCGGGTGTTCCAATCCCCTCCATATCATGTGATTCGGGTGTTCCAATCCCCTCCATATCATGTGATTCGGGTGTTCCAATCCCCTCCATATCATGTGATTCGGGTGTTCCAATCCCCTCCATATCATGTGATTCAGATGCTCCAATCCCCTCCACATCATGTGATTCAGGTGTTCCAATTCCCTCCCAATCATGTGATTTCAGGTGTTCCAATCCCCTCCATATCATGTGATTCAGGTGTTCCAATCCCCTCCATATCATGTGATTCAGGTGTTCCAATCCCCTCCATATCATGTGATTCAGGTGTTCCAATCCCCTCCCAATCATGTGATTCAGGTGTCCCAACCCCCTCCATATCATGTGATTCAGGTGTTCCAATCCCCTCCATATCATGTGATTCAGGTGCTCCAATCCCCTCCACATCATGTGATTCAGGTGTTCCAATCCCCTCCCAATCATGTTATTCAGGTGTTCCAATCCTCTCCATGGACACAGGTGTATACAATCAAGCCCCTAGGCATGCAGACGGCTTCTACAAACATTTGTGAAAGAATGGGTTTCCATGGCCGAGCAGCTGCATCCAAGCCCTCCATCACCAAGTGCAATGCAAAGCGTCGGATGCTGTGGTGTAAAGCACGCTGCCACTGGACTCTAGAGCAGAGGAGACGTGTTCTCTGGAGTGACCAATCACACTTCTCTGTCTGGCAATCCGATGGACGTGTCTGGGTTTGGTGGTTGCGGAACGGTACTTGCCTGACTGCATTGTTCCAAATGTAAAGTACCGAGCCCCGCCCTCACTACAACTTACTGTATGGAAGTACCGAGCCCCGCCCTCACTACAACTTACTGTATGGGAAGTACCGAGCTCCGCCCACACTACAACTTACTGTATGGAAGTAGCGAGCCCCGCCCTCACTACAACTTACTGTATGGAAGTACCGAGCCCCGCCCTCACTACAACTTACTGTATGGGAAGTACCGAGCCCCGCCCTCACTACAACTTACTGTATGGGAAGTACCGAGCTCCGCCCACACTACAACTTACTGTATGGAAGTACCGAGCCCCGCCCACACTACAACTTACTGTATGGAAGTACCGAGCCCCGCCCACACTACAACGTACTGTATGGGAAGTAGCGAGCCCCGCCCACACTACAACTTACTGTATGGAAGTACCGAGCCCCGCCCTCACTACAACTTACTGTATGGGAAGTAGCGAGCCCCGCCCTCACTACAACTTACTGTATGGGAAGTACCTTACTGTATGGGAGCTCCCCGCCCACACTACAACTTACTGTATGGAAGTACCGAGCCCCGCCCACACTACAACGTACTGTATGGGAAGTACAGAGCCCCGCCCACACTACAACGTACTGTATGGGAAGTACCGAGCCCCCGCCCACACTACAACTTACTGTATGGGAAGTAGCGAGCCCCGCCCACACTACAACTTACTGTATGGGATGTAGCGAGCCCCGCCCTCACTACAACTTACTGTATGGGAAGTAGCGAGCCCCGCCCTCACTACAACTTACTGTATGGAAGTAGCGAGCCCCGCCCACACTACAACTTACTGTATGGGAAGTAGCGAGCCCCGCCCCACACTACAACTTACTGTATGGGAAGTAGCGAGCCCCGCCCACAACAACTTACTGTATGGAAGTAGCGAGCCCCGCCCACACTACAACTTACTGTATGGAAGTAGCGAGCCCCGCCCACACTACAACTTACTGTATGGAAGTAGCGAGCCCCGCCCACACTACAACTTACTGTATGGAAGTAGCGAGCCCCGCCCACACTACAACTTACTGTATGGAAGTAGCGAGCCCCGCCCACACTACAACTTACTGTATGGAAAGTAGCGAGCCCCGCCCACCCACACTACAACTTACTGTATGGGAAGTAGCGAGCCCCGCCCTCACTACAACTTACTGTATGGGAAGTAGCGAGCCCCGCCCACACTACTTACTGTATGGGAAGTAGCGAGCAACTACAACTTACTGTATGGAAGTACCGAGCCCCGCCCACACTACAACTTACTGTATGGAAGTACCGAGCCCCGCCCACACTACAACTTACTGTATGGGAAGTACCGAGCCCCGCCCACACTACAACTTACTGTATGGGAAGTACCGAGCCCGCCCCCACACTACAACTTACTGTATGGGAAGTAGCGAGCCCCGCCCACACTACAACTTACTGTATGGGAAGTAGCGAGCCCCGCCCACACTACAACTTACTGTATGGGAAGTAGCGAGCCCCGCCCACACTACAACTTACTGTATGGAAGTACCGAGCCCCGCCCACACTACAACTTACTGTATGGGAAGTACCGAGCCCCCCCCACACTACAACTTACTGTATGGGAAGTAGCGAGCCCCGCCCACACTACAACTTACTGTATGGGAAGTAGCGAGCCCCGCCCACACTACAACTTACTGTATGGGAAGTAGCGAGCCCCGCCCACACTACAACTTACTGTATGGGAAGTAGCGAGCCCCACACTACAACTTACTGTATGGGATGTACCGAGCCCCGCCCACACTACAACTTACTGTATGGGAAGTAGCGAGCCCCGCCCACACTACAACTTACTGTATGGGAAGTACCGAGCCCCGCCCACACTACAACTTACTGTATGGGAAGTAGCGAGCCCCGCCCACACTACAACTTACTGTATGGGAAGTAGCGAGCCCCGCCCACACTACAACTTACTGTATGGGAAGTACCGAGCCCCGCCCACACTACAACTTACTGTATGGGAAGTACCGAGCCCCGCCCACACTACAACTTACTGTATGGGAAGTAGCGAGCCCCGCGAGCCCCCCCCACAACTACAACTTACTGTATGGGAAGTACCGAGCCCCGCCCACACTACAACTTACTGTATGGGAAGTACGAGCCCCGCCCACACTACAACTTACTGTATGGGAAGTAGCGAGCCCCGCCCACACTACAACTTACTGTATGGGAAGTACCGAGCCCCGCCCACACTACAACTTACTGTATGGGAAGTAGCGAGCCCCGCCCACACTACAACTTACTGTATGGGAAGTACCGAGCCCCGCCCACACTACAACTTACTGTATGGGAAGTACCGAGCCCCGCCCACACTACAACTTACTGTATGGGAAGTAGCGAGCCCCGCCCACACTACAACTTACTGTATGGGAGTACCGAGCCCCGCCCACACTACAACTTACTGTATGGGAAGTAAAGCGAGCCCCCCCACACTACAACTTACTGTATGGGAAGTAGCGAGCCCCGCCCACACTACAACTTACTGTATGGGAAGTAGCGAGCCCCGCCCCACACTACAACTTACTGTATGGGAAGTACGAGCCCCGCCCACACTACAACTTACTGTATGGGAAGTACCGAGCCCCCCCCACACTACAACTTACTGTATGGGAACCGAGCCCCGCCCACACTACAACTTACTGTATGGGAAGTAGCGAGCCCCGCCCACACTACAACTTACTGTATGGGAAGTACGAGCCCCGCCCACACTACAACTTACTGTATGGGAAGTAGCGAGCCCCGCCCACACTACAACTTACTGTATGGGAAGTAGCGAGCCCCGCCCACACTACAACTTACTGTATGGGAAGTACCGAGCCCCGCCCACACTACAACTTACTGTATGGGAAGTAGCGAGCCCCGCCCACACTACAACTTACTGTATGGGAAGTACAGAGCCCCGCCCACACTACAACTTACTGTATGGGAAGTACCGAGCCCCCCACACTACAACTTACTGTATGGGAAGTACCCGAGCCCCCCCACACTACAACTTACTGTATGGAAGTAGCGAGCCCCGCTTACCTCACTACAACTTACTGTATGGGAAGTACAGAGCCCCGCCCACACTACAACTTACTGTATGGGAAGTACCGAGCCCCGCCCACACTACAACTTACTGTATGGGAAGTAGCGAGCCCCGCCCACACTACAACTTACTGTATGGGAAGTAGCGGACTTGCATGTAGATTTCTCTGGCAGTTTTCAAAATCTCCACGCCTACAGAAAGAGAGAAACACATAAAACTGTGCGGATGTGCCAGGCCGGTCTCTTCTACATACACCGGAGGGTGGCCACCCAGCACCCACGGGAACCTCAGAATCTGAAGTTGTACTCTTGAGGTAGGTGCCCCCCCGGCATGTGATGCCATTTAGTGCTGCCACCCACTGCTACTCCCTGGAAATGACAACTAATAAAATCCTGGACCACCCACCTCCTACCGACCGTTCTGACAACCCCCGGTGGCAGAGGACACCGCCATAATCTGGGGAAGAAGCCCACCCACAAGGCAACAGCAGCACCCGGCCTGCTAAAGGTGCAGGATTTGGGGCTGAGCAGAGGTCAGGTATTTATTAGGTCTGATGGTGCGTGCACTGGGGCCGATCTGGGATCTGATGGTGCGTGCACTGGGGCCGATCTGGGGTCTGATGGTGCGTGCACTGGGGGCACTGGGGCCGATCTGGGGTCTGGGGTCTGATGGTGCGTGCACTGGGGCGATCTGGGGTCTGATGGTGCGTGCACTGGGGCCGATCTGGGGTCTGATGGTGCGTGCACTGGGGCCGATCTGAGGTCTGATGGTGCGTGCACTGGGGCCGAATCTGGGTCTGATGGTGCGTGCACTGGGGCCAATCCGGGGTCTGATGGTGCGTGCACTGGGGCCGATCTGGGGTCTGATGGTGCGTGCACTGGGGCCGATCTGGGGGTCTGATGCTGCGTGCACTGGGGCCGATCCGAGGTCTGATGCTGCGTACACTGGGGGGCCAATCTGGGGGTCTGATGGTGCGTGCACCGGGGCCAATCTGGGGTCTGATGGTGATGTGCACCGGGGCCAATCTGGTGAGTGCACTGATGGTGATGCACCGGGGTCTGGGGTCTGATGGTGAGTGCACTGGGGCCGATCCGAGGTCTGATGAGTGATGATGCGTGCACTGGGGCCGATCCGAGGTCTGATGGTGAGTGCACTGGGGCCGATCTGAGACCTGCCCCCACCCCCCCCCCCCCCACACACCCCCAATGCGCTCTCAGTACCTTGCTGTGCTCGATATCCTGGAAATCCACGTTGTTCACAGTGAGCACCTGATCTCCTTCCTGCAGGCCGGCACGGTGAGCATCAGAATCGGGGATAACCTGCACAAAGACAGAGCGTTATGACGTCACCTGACAGTTCAGAATCACTCCAGCGGTGGCGCTCCCCCCCCCCCCCCCCCCCCCCCCCCCCCCCGACGCTCCAGGTTGTGATGCGGGATCTCGACACCCTCACTTACCGGCAGTCCTGCACTGTATATAATGGCATCAGAGTGCCGTTGATCGATCAGGGCCCTGCGCAGGACACATGCAGTAAAGCTATACTAAAGGCCCCGTCTGTATTTATTAAAAATACTAAACCTGTCCTACTTCCTATACAGGAGGGAGGGGCCAGGAGGGCCTGTGGGGGGACCCGGCTCTGTGCAAAACCATGACAGAGCCGGGACCCCCGCCGTGCTCCTGGCCCCTCCCTCCTGTATGGGGGGGCACCTGAGCAGGCGCACTCCTGAGCCTCTGCTCTGTGTCCATTCACACATGGAACAGTGGCTCTGCTCCGCCCTCTCTCTCCTCATTGGCTCACTGGCTGTGATGCACAGCAGCGGGTATCAATGAGGAGGCAGAGACCCGGACAGCCAAGGCTCTCATGCACATCAATGGATCGCGATCGGGCTCAGGCATTAGGGGGTCCTGGGGGGGGGGGGAGATTTTTACCTTTGTGCACTTTAACCCCCTTTGCCCCAGCCCCAATCACGGCGGTCACATGACCATAAACCCCGCCCCACCTCCTGGAGTCAGAACCCCTTAAAGGGCCAGGAGGCGGGGTTTAGGGTCATGTGACCACTGTGATTGGCTGTCACATGACTGGAAAGGTCCCGACCGCAAAGGAGAGATCGGGACCTATCCAAGGGATGCCAACACATGTGCTGTCAGCACGCTTGTCTACAAACGGTACGCAAATATGCAGCCGCTCGGCGTCAAGCCCCTCCCCCCTCACCCCGCCCTGATTCCTGAGTGCCCATCAGTCACAGCTCTCTCCCCCGCACCGACAGGACAGATAGGCAGCAGACACAGCCATTGGCTCCTGCTGCTGTCAATACAATTCAGTGAGCAGAGATTGGAGGGGAGCTCATGCTTTGTGTGCGATTTCTGAAGACTTTATTGCGACTTGTGAAGTCTTTCAAAGATTTCTCGCGATTTACGGCGCAATTTCCGTTCTAGTCTATGTCTGTGAAATCGCAACAAAACTGCAGAAAAAGTCACGCAACAACGAGTTTAGAAATCGCGCCGCAGAAAATCGCACGTGTTCAGACGCCGACATTCACATTCATTAGATGTGATTTCAATTCGCAGTCTTACAAGTTTCCTCGAACAAATAAAAAATGTCGTCCTTCCTGACTCAGAGAAGTGAAACCAGGAAGTGCCCGGTTCCTACATAAAACGGTCATATTTTCAGGTGCGATTTCAGATTGAGATTTCAGATTGAGATTTCAGGTGCGATTTCAAATTGTGATTTCAGATTGCAATTTCAGGTGAGATTTCAAGTGAGATTTCAGGCGAGATTTCAGATTGCGATTTCAGATTGCGATTTCAGGTGAGATTTCAGGTTGCGATTTCAGATTGCGAGATTTCAATTGAGATTTCAGGCGAGATTTCAATTGAGATTTCAGGCAGATTTCAAGTGAGATTTCAGGCAAGAATTCAGGTGAAATTTCATGTGTGATTTCAGGTGTGATTTCAGATTGCGATTTCAGGTGAGAGTTCAGGTGAGAGTTCAGGTGAGAGTTCAGATTGCGATTTCAGGTGAGATTTCAAGTGAGATTTCAAGTGAGATTTCAGGCGAGATTTTACATGTGATTTCAGGTGAGATTTCAGATTGCGATTTCAGGTGAGATTTCAGGCGAGATTTCAGATTGCGATTTCAGGCGAGATTTCAGGTGCGATTTCAGATTGAGATTTCAGGTGAGATTTCAGGTGAGATTTCAGATTGAGATTTCAGGTGCGATTTCAGATTGCAATTTCAGGTGAGATTTCAAGTGAGATTTCAGGCGAGATTTCAGGCAAGATTTCAGGCGAGATTTCAGATTGCGATTTCAGGTGAGATTTCAAATGAGATTTCAGGCGAGATTTCAGATTGAGATTTCAGATTGAGATTTCAGGTGAGATTTCAGGTTGCGATTTCAGGCGAGATTTCAGATTGCGATTTCAGGTGAGATTTCAGATTGCGATTTCAGGTGAGATTTCAGGCGAGATTGCGCGATTTCAGGCAAGAATTCAGGTGAAATTTCATGTGTGATTTCAGGTGAGATTTCAGATTGCGATTTCAGGTGAGATTTCAAGTGAGATTTCAGGCAAGAATTCAGGTGAGATTTCAGGTGAGATTTAAGGAAAGAATTGAGGTGAAATTTCATGTGTGATTTCAGGTGAGATTTCAGATTGCGATTTCAGGTGAGATTTCAGGTGCGATTTCAGGTGAGATTTCAGGTGCGATTTCAGGTGAGATTTCAGGTGAGATTTCAGGCGAGAATTGAGGTGAAATTTCATGTGTGATTTCAGGTGAGATTTCAGATTGCGATTTCAGATTTCCGATTTCAGATTGCGATTTCAGGTGAGATTTCAGATTGCGATTTCAGGCGAGATTTCAGATTGCGATTTCAGGTGAGATTTCAGATTGCGATTTCAGATTGCGATTTCAGGCAAGAATTGCGCTTTCAGGTGAAATTTCAGTGTGATTTCAGGTGAGATTTCAGATTGCGATTTCAGGTGAGATTTCAGAGATTTCAGGCAAGAATTCAGGTGAGATTTCAGGTTGAGATTTCAGGCAAGAATTGAGGTGAAATTTCATGTGTGATTTCAGGTGAGATTTCAGATTGCGATTTCAGGTGAGATTTCAGGTGCGATTTCAGGTGAGATTTCAGGTGCGATTTCAGGTGAGATTTCAGATGAGATTTCAGGCAAGAATTGAGGTGAAATTTCATGTGTGATTGTGATTTCAGATGCGATTTCAGATTGCGATTTCAGATTGCGATTTCAGGTGAGATTTCAGATTGAGATTTCAGGTGCGATTTCAGGCGAGATTTCAGATTGCGATTTCAAGTGAGATGTCAGATTGCGATTTCAGATTGCGATTTCAGGCGAGATTTCAGATTGCGCTTTCAGGTGAGATTTCAGGTGCAATTTCAGGCGAGATTTCAGATTGTGATTTCAGGTGAGATTTCAGATTGCGATTTCAGGTGAGATTTCAGATTGCGATTTCAGGCAAGAATTTCAGAGGTGAAATTTCATGTGTGATTTCAGGTGAGATTTCAGATTGCGATTTCAGGTGAGATTTCAGGCAAGAATTCAGGTGAGATTTCATGTGTGATTTCAGGTGAGATTTCAGATTGTGATTTCAGGTGAGATTTCAGATTGCGATTTCAGGTTGCGATTCAGGTGAGATTTCAGGCGAGATTTTACAGGTGCGATTTCAGGTGAGATTTCAGTGAGATTTCAGGCAAGAATTGAGGTGAAATTTCAGATGTGATTTCAGGTGAGATTTCAGATTGCGATTTCAGATTGCGATTTCAGATTGCGATTTCAGGTGAGATTTCAGATTGCGATTTCAGATTGCGATTTCATGATTGCATTTTCAGGTGAGATTTCAGGTGAGAGTTCAGGTGAGATTTCAGATTGCGATTTCAGGCGAGATTTCAGATTGCGATTTCAGGCGAGATTTCAGATTGCGATTTCAGGTGAGATTTCAGATTGCATTTCAGATTGCGATTTCAGGTGATTTCAGGCAAGAATTCAGGTGAGATTTCAGTGAGATTTCAGGTGAGATTTTAGATTGCGATTTCAGGTGAGATTTCAGATTGCGATTTCAGATTGCGATTTCAGGTGAGAGATTCAGATTGTGATTTCAGGTGAGATTTCAGATTGCGATTTCAGGTGAATTTCAGGTGCGATTTCAGGTGAGATTTCAGATTGCAATTTCAGGTGCGATTTCAGGTGCGATTTCAGGCAAGAATTCAGGTGAAATTTCAAGTGAGATTTCAGGTGAGATTTTAGATTGCGATTTCAGGTGAGATTTCAGATTGCGATTTCAGATTGCGATTTCAGGTGAGATTTCAGATTGTGATTTCAGGTGAGATTTCAGATTGCGATTTCAGGTGAAATTTCAGGTGCGATTTCAGGTGAGATTTCAAGTGAGATTTCAGGCAAGAATTGAGGTGAAATTTCATGTGTGATTTCAGGTGAGATTTCAGATTGCGATTTCAGGCGAGATTTCAGGCGAGATTTCAGGCGAGATTTCAGATTGCGATTTCAGATTGCGATTTCAGGCGAGAGTTCAGGCGAGAGTTCAGGCGAGAGTTCAGGCGAGAGTTCAGGCGAGAGTTCAGGCGAGAGTTCAGGCGAGAGTTCAGGCGAGAGTTCAGGCGAGAGTTCAGGCGAGAGTTCAGGTGAGAGTTCAGGTGAGATTTCAGATTGTGATTTCAATCTTACAAGTTTCCTTGAACAAATAAAATGAACAATACAAAGAATGTCGTCCTTCCTGACTCGGGAATACAGAGAAGTGAAACCAGGAAGTGCCCAGTCATACGGTGCGATTTCAGATTGCGATTTGCGAATTGAAATCTCACCTGAAATCGCATCTAATGAATGTGAATGTCGGCGTCTGAAAACATGCGATTTCTAAAGTCTTCCTCGCTAACTTTTCCTGCCGTTTTATTGCGATTTCACAGACATGGAATAGAAATCGCACTGCAAATGGCAAGAAATCGATGAAATAAAAGTCTTCAGAAATCGCGCTGAAATCGCACACAAATGGCGGCGGTGTGACGGGCACTTCTAGAAGTCGCCCCCGTTCCTCAGTCCATACCTTGGAGATGAAGATCCCGAGCTGCGACGCCTTCCCTCCTCGGATATTGAATCCCAGCTACAATCACAGAAGGAACAGTCAGAGACAGAAGGAATACGGCGAGGGAGACAGCCAATCAGGGAGGCAGCCAATCAGGGAGCAGCTAACATAGCGCTTCCAATACAAAGACATTTTTTTTTTCATTTCTTCAGGCACTTCCTGGTTTCTGGCCTAGGAAAAGGTCATCCCTCCCAGGAGCCTTCAGGAGGTGGGAGGGGCTGTCTCAGCTAAGCACGCCCTCCTGCCTGCATGCCTGAGCGAAGGGCAGATGGATTCCAGGAAGTAAAGGCTACATGAATCACCCGCCCTTACTCAAGATGGCCACTGCCAGGAATGCTAGCAGGAGGGGGTGTTTCAAAGTGATATCTCAGCAAATAAAGCATGGGGACATGGATGGATGGAGGGATGGATGGGGGATGGATGGATGGGGGATGGATGGACGGGGGATTTTGCTTTCAATATTACTTCTGGGTATCTGTAAGGGTGGAGAGGGGGAGTCAGTACTTCCAGGTATACGTGTGTGTGGTGTCAGTACTTCCAGATATGTGGGGTAGGGGGGTCAATAATTCTTGGTATCTGTGGGGGGTCAGTACTTCCAGGTATCTGGGGGGGGGGGGTGTAAAGTACTTCCAGCTTCCAGGTATCTGGGGGGGGGGGGGGGTTAGTACTTCTAGGTATCTGTGGGGGTGGAGAGGGGGAGTCAGTACTTCCGGGTATCTGTGGGGGGGTCAGTACTTCCAGGTATCTGGGGGGGGTGTAGGTACTTCCAGCTTCCAGGTATCTGGGGGGGTCAGAAATTCTGGGTATCTGTGGGGGGTCAGTACTTCCAGGTATCTGGGGGGGGGTGTAAGTACTTCCAGCTTCCAGGTATCTGGGGGGGGGTCAGTACTTCCAGTTATCTGGGGGGGGGGGGGGTTAGTACTTCTAGGTATCTGTGGGGGTGGAGAGGGGGAGTCAGTACTTCCGGGTATCTGGGGGGGGGTGTAGGTACTTCCAGCTTCCAGGTATCTGGGGGGGTCAGAAATTCTGGGTATCTGTGGGGGGTCAGTACTTCCAGTTATCTGGGGGGGGGGGGGTTAGTACTTCCCATGGGTATCTGTGAGGGTGGAGAGGGGGAGTCAGTACTTCTGGGTATCTCGGGAGAAAGAAGGGGAGTGGCCTGTGACTCTACGGTTTAGAGTAGGGGGGCTCCCAGGTATGTAGGCCACACCCCACCCACAGACCCCGCTATGGGGCTTCCTGGGTTCCTCCCATTGGACTGACCTGGGCCCCCGGAGGTTTCTTCAGCAGGATGGAGCGGGGGAGGAAGTGTGAGAGCTCATTGTTGTAATCCGAGCTGTACACTCTCTGCGGAGACAAGAAACCCAGATTATCAGATACAGAACTGACACCCGACCCGACACTGACAACTGACACCCCACAGACATCCCACACTGACACGACCCCACCCCACACTGACACCCCACACTGACAACTGACACCCCACACTGACACCCGACATTCCACACTGACACCCGACACTGACAACACTGACACCCCACAGACATCCGACACCCCACACTGACACCCGACACTGACACGTGACACCGACATCTGACACCCCACACTGACACCCGACATTCCACACTGACACCCGACACTGACAACTGACACCCCACAGACATCCGACACCCCACACTGACACCCGACACTGACACGTGACACCGACATCTGACACCCGACACCCCACAGACATCCGACACTGACATCTGACACCCCACACTGACACCCGACACCCCAAACTGACACCCGACCCCCACACTGACACCCGACACCCCACACATGACATCCGACACCCCCACAGACATCCGACACCCCACACTAACACCCCGACACCCCACACTGACACCCGACATCTGACACCCCACACTGACACCCGACATCTGACACCCCACACTGACACCCGACCCGACCGACATCTGACACCCCCACACTGACACCCGACACCGACATCTGACACCCCACACTGACACCTGACACTGACATCTGACACCCCACACTGACACCCGACACCGACATCTGACACCCGACACCGACATCTGACACCCCACACTGACATCTGACACCCCACACTGACACCCCGACACCCGACATCACATCTGACACCCGACACGTGACACCTAACATCCAACATTGACATCCGACACCCAACACTAACACCTGACGAGACCTAACAACCCCCCACACCATTACCAATCACGGTGTAATCTTCCAATGGGGACACTTCTGGTGACAACCAGGGATTCCCCTTCACTTCCTATTTTGGTTCTGACACAGGAAATGAGGGGAAATCTCCCCAATGGGGATACACGTTCTGAGGAATTTCCTCTCACTTCCTGGTTTGTCTCTGGGACAGGAAGTAAAGAGAAATCTCCCCAAGGGGGACACAGACGGTAACAAAAACCTGCCAGGGGGTCTCGTCCCTCCCCCTCCATCCAACACTAAAAAAAAGTTTGGCTTGTAGTTACACTTTAAGCCCCACCCCATATTCTGATGTTGCAGTTGGGCGGAGTCTATTTTAAAGGCCCCCAAAGTGACAGCTCTCACCTCCTGCAGGGGGATCCAGGCCGGGGGGTTCTCATAGGGGGGCAGGAAGACCACAGGGTACGGGTAATCCTCATAGGTAGGCCTCCCCTCCAT